ATACATATAAAAACCATGCTCAGAGATGGGATCTTTCATTCCTCAGAATGGTGACCAACTCAAACCAAGTGGGAAACAGAAGAGCCAACAGAGAGAGCAACATAATAGTTTACATCTTAATTTTGCTTTCACCTGTTACGTTAACATCCCCCAGAGCACTGTTACTTATGGACACAAAAACCTCTCTTAAAATGTTAAAGTCACTTTGCAAACCTGGGCCTGGGAGAGCCATTTCCCGCTGAGGGTGAAGGCCGGCGGGGAGGTTGAGGGGTAATCCGGGGGCAGTTCAAAATGCAGCACGAGGGGCGGCAGAAAGCACACGGGGTACTCGAACCTGCTGCTCTGGAGGCTTTCCGTGGAGTTGCCTGAACCCAAGGGAATCGAGGCAGTTTGAGAACAAAAAAGGGAAAACTACTGAAGCGTAACTGTTTACGACAGATATTTCTTTTCCTTTGGTAAATTTCTGGGTCTAAAATGATTTATTCCACTCTAAATAACAAAACCCAGTGCAGTAAAATTTCACGGGGCTGTACGTGTATGGTTAAACCAGGAAACACCAGCACTGTGAAACACCAGACCCTGCACAGACACATCAAGGCAAAACCCAATGGATTAACTTAATTACTCCAAAGAAACGCTATTGCTCGTCTCTAATTTCAAAGATCACTGAAGAGGTGATGTGGAGGAGGATGAAATCACCCCCTTGGGCATGAACCCCAACAACCCCCCAAGCACAGGACAGGGGCAGTCGTGGCTTCCTCTGCTCACACCGCTGGAGCACCAAGCGTTTAAGCAAAAAAATCACCCTGGTAAAACCTCATTTGGGGAAAACACAAAACAGCTCAACTCACCACTCACAAAAACTTTGAAGCCTGGGGGCAACTCCAGGCAAATTCTTGTTTCTCCTCCCTGGGCAGACTCTGCTCTCTTGAACTCATCTTCATCGTAAATGCTGGCCAGGGCCAGCAGCTCATCCTCCTGAGCTTCTTTGTCTTCTGAAGACATCGAAATGTTCCGTGGAGTTGACACCACTCTACAAGATCAACCGAGTTAACGCATCCAATCCAAATTATTAATCGGGGTTATCTATTTTATACTGCTCTAAGATTTAGAAACCCACGTAACCAATACAAAGCAATATAAGCTGGTTTTTTTTACAGGTTGAGAAAATATTGGTAGCTTTATACAGTTAAAAAACACTTTAGCAGAGCATTGAAAAGTCAAAAAGCAAAGCGTTAGTGGCTAAAGACAGCTGCAAGGGGGGAAAACAGTGAAATACCCCAATAGCAAGTGACAGAGAGACCTTTTGTTAGCGCCTGAAAGGGAAATAGACTGGAAATAAAGCCAAGAAAAAGGCATTAGTAGCGGTATTTCTCACCCACTGTTCTAAAACAAACAAACAGAAGCGTTTATGATTAAAGTTCTTGAAGATACCAACAAGAAGCTTCAAATCCTACACAGACACCTTGTAGACGAGCTCCTATACCATCCCAATTAGAGATCTGGGGAAATAAAGCCACGTTTAATAATTACCTTTTTATTCCCAACTGTGGCAAAGTCACAGGTGCTGGGGATGGACCAGGGGCAGCCACGTTAGCAGGGCCGGAGCACAGCCCCTGCTCGTTCCTCTGTCACAGCTGCAGCTCGGAGACCTCTCCTCATCTAAGGCATCCAAACGTTGATTTTGTCGCCGAAAGGCGCCGTGCGGAGCTGCCTGCAGCCAAACAAACAAACAAACGCTCAGCGGGAGTAAAGTCCCCTCAGGAATTTCATTACAAACGCTAACGAACATTTCATTCGGCGGACGCAGTAATTCCGAGTAACCTTTTCGCAGCTCTGATCGCTCCTTTT